GGCATCATTCTGCTGGTTAAACGTATCAACGGAAAACTAAAAGTATGTAAATCTAATGGACAGAAAAAGTCATGACGTGGCCAAAATCTGATGGCTGGTCAGGTCTACGTTTAAACGGAACGTATTTAAAGGACAAGAGATTAAGCCATAGAGAGAGATATACTAATCAATCTGAGTAATCATCTCTGTGAGTGTTTCTGATCGGAAAAAATGGCGGACAATGGCGGTGGTGCGATTAGGGTTAGCGGAATGCAGTTTTCTTACGAACTACAGGATCCTATTTTCTTCGATTTCAACCTCGATCTTCCCTCTGGATCTCGTTGCCTTTTGGTTGGTGCTAATGGATCTGGTAAAATTTTGAGTTTTTTCTGGATTGGTTTTGTATCTATGAATCTGAAACTAGATCGATTTGGGGGATTTGACGAATATAGAATGTGATTTGTGTGATTCTGTTTCGGTAGTGTTTGTAATTCGATTGTAATGTAGAAATTTTGTATCCGTAAGATCGATTTGATCAGGTTTAATTCGTCGAATTCGACTATAATGTAGAAATTTTGAGTACGTAAGATCGATTTGGGTTCGTAAGTTCGATTCGATTCGGTTGAGGAAGTGATGGTAGTTTTTAATGTTTGTAATTTGATTTGATCAGGTTTGATTCGTCGAATTCGACTATAATGTAGAAATTTTGAGTACGAAAGATCGATTTTTAGTTTTGGATTCGATTATTTCGCAGTCGATTCGGTTGAGGAAGTGATGGTAGTTGTGTGTTTCATTGTATCAGGGAAAACTACATTGTTGAAGATTCTGGCTGGGAAGCATATGGTTGGAGGAAAGAATGTTGTAAAAGTTCTTGATCGTTCGGCGTTTCATGATACAGAGCTTGTTTGTAGTGGTGATTTGTCTTACCTTGGAGGATCATGGAGTAAAGCTGCTGGTTCTGCTGTGAGTATACTCTTATGAGGATCTTGAGTTTAAAAAAGCAATGCAAGAGGATTGATGTGAGAATTTTTTTGTTTGTTTGAAATTTTGTAGGGTGAGATTCCTCTTCAGGGAGATTTCTCAGCAGAACATATGATATTTGGAGGTGGGATTCTCTGATCTACTAAGTATGAGCTTCTTTTGGACAATGGTGAATTGTTGTATTTATTAGGATATGTATGTTTTGTGTTCAGTTGAAGGGATAGATCCTGTGAGAAGAGAGAAGTTGATTGATCTTCTTGATATTAATCTTCAATGGCGTATGCATAAGGTTTCTGATGGGCAGAGACGTCGAGTGCAAATATGTATGGGTCTTTTACATCCATTCAAGGTAGTACACACCAACCAGAGATTGATTCTGTAATTCTTCATGGTCTGTGTTTTTTTTTTTGTTTCATCATATCTGATTCTTAAAATTGTAATGATCATAGGTGTTATTACTTGATGAGGTTACTGTTGACCTCGACGTCGTTGCTAGGATGGATTTGTTGGAATTCTTTAAAGAAGAATGTGAACAGGTAAGCCTCTTACGAAATCCATCAGTTTGTAAATGTGTTTTTGGTTCGTTCTGTGTATTTATGTTCCACTTTAGCTTTAGAGGTCTTTGAGCTTATGGTTTAGAAACATCAGATGCTAATATTCATGTTTTATGTTTGAGTAGAGAGGAGCAACAATTGTATATGCGACTCATATTTTTGATGGCCTGGAGACATGGGCTAGTCATTTGGCTTACATTCATGGAGGAGAGCTGAAACTCTCAGCCAAATTAGATGAGATCAAGGATCTCAAAACCTCACCAAATCTGCTCTCTGTTGTTGAAACTTGGCTCCGGTCTGAAACCAAAGTCGAGAAGAAGACGAAGAAGAAACCTGTTGTTACGTCTCCATTTATGTCGTCTAGACAAATGGCATATTACCGATGAGTGTTAGCTTCTTTAAGTGATCATCTGTAAGAATAAATGAGTATCTTCACTTTTATGACTTTTTTTCTTTCTTTGTTTTGTTTTTTCTTTTTCTTTTTTTCTTTTTCTTTTTTTCTTTATGGTGCTTATTTTTTTGAGAATCCGATAATATCATAATACACACAAATGAAAGAAATTATGTAAAACTACGTTTTAAATCAAACTATTATTTTATGTTTATTGAACTGCTTATGTCCAAATTTTTGTGTGGAGAGATAGGGTATTATACGCCTTTGTAATACTATTCTATTTTATGTTCGGGTTTCAAAGTTACTAATTCGCGCGATCACAACAAGTGTCAAAAATAAAAAATGTTATCACGTATCATATCTAACTTTTTAAATATTTAGATGTTATATCCAATTTTCATAATATTTAGACAAAAATTTAAACATTTTAACTCTATTGAAAAAGAAAATATAAAAAATAAGTATTATTAGTAAAATTATATATATATATATATATATATTTTAAATTACATAAAGATTTGTTTTCAAAGTTAATAACTCAAATGATCACGGCATATGTTAAGTAAAACATGAGATATAACTACATGTCATATATAATTTTGTTAATATTTTAGATAAAATTAGAGAAAATAACCCTATCCAAAAAGAAAGATATAAACTAAGTATTACTAAAAAATTCTATATTATTTTTATAAATAAATGAATCTATTAACCTAATTTTGGTTATGTTAATTTGTTTAACAAAAAAATTGGAATTTAGATTATAATTAAACCAAATTATATGTCGATGTTTGTCTATAGAGGAGGATTAATGTTTAGATTTCACAATTGAACGGGTTATATGTTAGTTCGGGTGTATAAATGAGAATTATGTTTTAGATTTATAAATGAGAATTATTGTTTAGATTTTACCACTAAACGAGATTATATGTTGAAGCTTGATTTCCAAAGTTACTAACTCACGTGATCACAATATGTGTCAAGTAAAATATAAAATGTCACCATGTATTATATCTAATTTTGTTAACATTTAGGATACAAAAAAATAACAGTTGTTGCTTGAAAATGTTTTTCACGTACAATTCAGTTGTTTTTTTTTGTGTGTGTGGGGAAAAGCTATTAATGGTTTTTAAAACATAGAGACTTTTATTTTTTCTTCAAGAAAATAACTAAATACATAATTCAGATTTCTAATATATATTTTTCTGATGAGTATGTATCTAATTCATAACGACAAAAGAATTCATGTGAAACTGTATTTTTACGTAGAATTATCATTTTTCAAGAATATGAGATAGTTAGCTGACATTGATTAGTTGTGGTAGGTATCGTTGTTCTAGCCAAAATATTAGATAATAGTAGTACAACGGTTGGCACGTACGTTCATCCGCGAATCTGTATCCTTCGGAATCGTACATGTCAATCAAATTTGTTTTATATGTTCGAAAACTAACATGCCGACTGATAATTAATTATTAGAAAAACAGAAAAACTTTTAACTATATCGAAAATATATAAAATAAAATATTATCAAAAGTATTTTATACTCAAACTATTTATTAATAAATTAAACTATTAACCTAATTTTGGGTTATGTTGGTTGGGATTTACCATACAGATTAGGATTTAGTGTTTACAATTAAACGAGACTATGATGTTTTCGATATAATTAAAAGTTTTTCTGTTTTTCTAAAAATTAGTTATCAGTAGTACAACAGTCGACATGTTAGTTTTCAAACATATAGTTAAAAGGTACTCGATCTTTTATAAATTAAATTAAGGATTACTAAAGTTCAATATAATTAATCATCTATCGTATTTTAAAATTTTGTTAATGTTTTTCTCAACAATATTATAATTTATTTTTATATTATTTATGTTCATTCGCTTTATTTATATAAACTTCTTTACAAATGACTTTATTTATATTCAACATCATATTTTGGATTGATGTTAATTTGAAAAAACTTTACCATCAAATTTAGTAATAATTCATTAATTTAATGTGAGATTTCTTTTAGAAAATGATATAATCACGTTTTAGGGAATAATTTTTAAATTAATTTTATTAAATTTTTTGACAATATTATCGACAATTTAGGATTGTTAGATTTTTATAATTAACGTTTAATAACAATCTGTTTAAATATATATACGTATCAAGTTTATTCACACAAACTAAAGTCTCTTTACTAATTAAACATTTCTATATATGTATCTAAAATAGCTTTGCATATAAAGTCTTATAATAAAAGTTTAATTATAATTTTATTTCTGATCATAGTTAACCCGTCCGTGGTACTAATCTAGTTGTGTATTGACGTGAAATCTTTTTCATAAACCATAATCATGTAAAAACCATATGACTGGTGTCTTTTATTCATTTCAAAAAAATAAAAATTCATGTCTTGAAGTAATTTTTTTCACAAAGTTTGAATAGTAAAGTGGTTACTTTGTAATACTGTTTTTAAAATGTACTAAATCTCCTCCTTCATCCATTTTGTAAGGAACAACTTCATAATTATGTGATAAATACAGAAAATATTTTTAGAGTTGTATACTTAGCATAAGTGGTAAGATTTTCATTTATGAATATTCATAGGAAGAGTATAAAAAGATTCAAAATTTGAACTCATTTTAATATAGACAAAAAAACTTTTAAGTGTATATAGGTTTTAAAGATTAGTATGTGAAAAAATAACTGGAATTTTTTCTACAAGAAACTCTAACAAATTCTTGTAAAATATTAATTGAAAGATTATAAAGTTCAAAGTCAAAAATCTGGAAAAGAACATAACATCTATATGTAAAAAATTAAAATTCACTTATGCTTCTTTATTTTGATATTTTTAATGTAGCAACAAATTATATTAACTTTTGTTTCTTAACTTATATTAATGTAGCAAAAAAAAAACCCATCGTATTAACTTTTGTTTCTTTCTTGACAACTCTCTTTTGTTTTGTTTTCTACATAAAAACCTTAATCAGGATATTTTTGTTAATTTATCCCCACTGTAAATTAATTAAAACCTAACTTAACCCCAAAAAAAAAAAAAGAAAAGAAAAATCTTCTTTTTTCTAAAGTAGCGAGAGAAAAAAAAAATGTCACAAATCTCCATCTCTTCTCTCGTCCCTCTTCGTATTAATTTACCCTAAATTCTTTCTCGTCGTTCAACGAAAATCCGATTTCGTACCCAATTCCCGGGTCAAATCCATCTCAAACTTTGTGCTTTTTCTCGTTTATGATTAGTTCGATTCCCTAAATCTGATTAGGGTTTTAATCAATTTTGCAATCGGGTCTCGTGGGTTTGGTTTTTGGAGCTCGTTGATGGCGAATTGACTTCTTCTGGAATCTGGGTTTATTGATCTCTGAAAGGGTTTTTGGATTTTGAATGCTGAATTGGGAAAACAGATCCAGGGGCTAATTGAGGAAAATTAAAAAAAGGAGGGTTCTTTTTGATATTTTGATTCTGGGGATTTTTGAGATCGGAGAAGATGGATCTTGTGATCGGTGGTAAATTTAAGCTTGGTAGGAAAATTGGTAGTGGATCATTTGGAGAGCTTTATCTAGGTAACAAGGATGATGACGATTCGATTGTAAATTTCTCAACTTTTTGAGATTTTTGGGGTTTACTGATCATATTTTTTTTTGCAGGTGTAAATGTCCAAACAGGAGAAGAAGTTGCTGTCAAGCTGGTGAAATATTTACTACATTTATCAAATACATTAATCTCTTTATGCATCCAAATAAAAAAACTTGTTTTTTTTTAGTTTAACTGCAACTTTCATGTGATGTTGTTGGTTTGTAAAAATTCTTGTCACATGAAGGGGATGGGGAATTTTGCTTTCTTGAGTCATTTTGCTATTAATATGAGCTTTGTTGTTGTGTGGTTTGGATTTGCTTCTTTACTTTTTTTTAATTTTTCTTTTGTTGAATTGAATTATTAGGAAAATGTGAAGACCAAGCACCCTCAACTTCATTATGAGTCAAAGTTGTATATGTTCCTTCAAGGAGGATGTAAGTATTAATTATAACTCGCATTATACCATTCTCCGGTAGAAATATACCGATTCGATATGATAGTCTTCTGTTCACTGTATATGCTTTTTTACAGGCTTTTATCGTCAGCTTAACATATTGTGGATTTTTGCAAATAACTAAACAGTTTTTGTTTTGTTTTGTTTCTGTCTTTTTGAAGCTGGTATTCCGAAAATCAAGTGGTTTGGAGTTGAAGGTGACTACAGCGTGATGGTTATTGACCTTTTAGGTCCTAGTCTTGAAGACTTGTTCAACTACTGCAACAGGAAGTTCACCTTGAAAACTGTTCTCATGCTTGCAGACCAATTGGTGAGTTTATGTATCTGCTAAACTGGTTTCCAACTCTTATGTTCTCTGAATATATGAATTCGTTCGTAATGGAGGAGATTGTTTTCTCTGTTTATGTTTCAGCTTAACAGGGTTGAATATATGCACATTAAAAGTTTCCTTCACCGTGATATAAAACCTGACAACTTTTTAATGGGACTTGGACGCAAAGCAAATCAGGTGCTAAACTCTTTCTTTGTGTAAAAACTTGGGCGTAGACATATGATGCTTATACATTAAATTTATTGTGATGGCGGGTTCTGTCTTCAAACTTCTGAGATAATTTCTCTCTATTGCAGGTGTATATCATTGATTTCGGACTTGGAAAGAAATACAGAGACCTTCAGACTCTTAAGCACATCCCTTACAGGTAAGAAATATAGAGACCCTCACAAGAGTATGCTGTTGTCCCCCATTTCCCTTATTCGTACTCAAGGAACATTCAACTATTGTGGCAGAGAAAACAAAAATCTCACTGGGACAGCTCGGTATGCAAGTGTTAACACTCACCTTGGAGTCGGTAAGATTGTTGTTTTGTGGTATTATATATATTTGTGTATATTTTTTGGTCAATTTAATTAATGTGCTCTGGTAATTGAACAGAGCAAAGTCGAAGGGATGATTTGGAATCACTTGGTTATGTACTTATGTATTTTCTCAAAGGAAGGTTAGAGTCTACAGTTTCTCTGCCTTTGTCTTTCAACTTCTGTATATTTTCCTGAACGAATGTTAAACTCTCTTTTTTTTTTTTTGGCTATCAGCTTACCCTGGCAGGGATTAAAAGCTGGGACAAAGAAGCAGAAGTATGACAGAATCAGCGAGAAGAAAGTATCAACTCCAATAGAGGTTACAACAAATCAATTTTTTTTGTTTGCATTGCTGGTAATCTAGCTTTTCTGTCTGAGCTTAGTATGTTAACGGAATTTTTTGATGTAGGTGTTGTGTAAAAACCACCCATCTGAGTTTGTTTCATACTTCCAATACTGCCGATCTTTACGCTTTGATGACAAACCTGATTACTCTTACCTTAAGAGACTTTTCCGTGACTTGTTCATCAGAGAAGGTTCGTACTTTAACATCATTTTTCTAAAACATATTACTTACTGTTCGTATATCATTTCTCAAACTGTTCAAACTCTTACAGGTTATCAGTTCGATTTTGTATTTGACTGGACAGTCCTAAAGTATCCTCAAATCGGAACCAGCTCTGGTTCTAGTTCACGAACAAGGGTGATTATTGAAAATTGGATACTTATGTTATAGCTTTTGAGTTTCTTTGTGCTAACGTTATCTTTGGGTTTTCCAGCATCATACAACAGCGAGACCAGGATTCAACGCAGATCCCATTGGAAGACAAGATAGGATCGTGGGTAAATTCTTCTTCCCTGTTTCTGTTGGAAATTTTAGAACCACACACATCACTCCTCACAATTTTTTTATAATAATTAATTAACCATTCCTGTCGGAACAGAACCTCGTTATAAAACTCCGGGGGCAGTAGAGGCATTCTCCCGAAGACACACAACTACAACTTCTTCGCCAGGTGATCGTTCCAGATCAAGAAACTCTGATGATGGACCTTTGGCTAAACACACAGTAAAAAATCTTACTTTACCAACACATACATTGATCAAAACCGCTGATTATACAGAGAGACTCAATTGTAGTTTTGTTTTCAGCAGCATGAATACTCGGAAAGACCAAACAGTTCGTCAAGATACAGAACATCTTCTTCTAGGAAAGCCGTTGCTGCCTCAAGCTCCCGGCCAAGTTCTGCAGTTGGACCAAGCGAAAGCCGAGTTTCAAGTCGTCTAGTTTCATCAAGCGGAGGTGGTGGCAGTGGCAGCGGTAATGGCCGTCCCTCGACTAGCCAGAGAATCCAAGCTGGATACGAATCCAAGACTTTATCTTTCTCTCGTGCAACGGCTTCAAAAAAAAACACTCGGGAAGATCCATTAAGAAGCTTCGAGCTCCTCTCTCTCCGGAAATAAAGCAAAATGATGGAGAGAGAGAGACAGCAAACTCGATGAAAACCACCCGCATAAGTGACACCTCTGAGAAAGATGAGAAACTCGGTTTCGAGGGAAATTAATATACATATATATATATATATTCGAGCTGATGAAATCCTCAGATCTTTGCAGGTAAATATCAGCTTTAGCTTGCAGAGATTTATGTTATTCACACAACCACTTCTCGTTTGTTTTATGTAATCGTGATGTGTTTAGAAGACCAAATACACCAATCAAAATGTAGAGAGTTTCCCATGTAAAGATCCTATCCGTATATTCTCAATTACATCGGACCTATCTATCATCTGTAACTTGGTAATAATAAACAACAAAACAATCAACTTGGTTGACTTTTTTGGTCAAAGCTGAGGACTCCAAAGTGGATACTATACTAGTACCACCGCCGCTGGGTCTCTCCGAGTAATAAAAATTGATTAATTACTTTCCTTTTTTATTTTATTTAATTTTTTAGAATTAATCCTCTCTCGTCTTCCCCAAACTCCATTTTCGAACTTGTTGTTATATGATCGGAGAAGTGGTCACTTGATCTGCCAAGTTCTTCTTCTTCTTCTTCTTCTACCTCGTCGTTGCTTTTGAAGCAGAACTTGTATGAGATTTTGTTGTATAGGACTCTTTTTGCGTGTTAATCTAGGGTTTATCGAATCGTTTCGTTTCTCTTGTTAAGAGTTGTCAGAGTTCATCGATTGGTCAGAGCCGCTTTTGTTGAATTCTAAAATTTTTCTTCTGGTGGTTTCGTTGCTTTATTGAAATATCTGAGAATTCTGGTGTGGCGGAGTTACTGAGTTATTGGAAGAAATTAGGGTTTTGATTCCGATTTTTGATTCATGGATATCGATGGTGTAAACGATGTTCAGATTTTGGATCATGAGCTCTTGCAGCTTCCGGGTTTGTCTCCTGTATCGCTCAAAGCTAACCCTCATATTGCTGAGGAACTCTTCTCTCAGTGGCTTTCACTCCCTGAAACTGGCCGATTGGTAATTTTTGTTCACAAGCTTCTGCATCTTTATCTTTCCTGTTATTGTACTTGACTTGTTTATTCATGTGTGATTGATTGAACTCTCTGGCTCCTTATTGTTTGGAATCAGTAATATATCTTGGTTGTTGTTTCTTTTCTTGTTCGCTTGATTGTTTCTGCTCGTTTATGGTTTCTGTATGCTCATTCCTTTTGTTACTTATTTTGTGAGTTCATCCGATTTCATGTAAGATTTGTGCAGCACTTGGTTCAACATGCTTATTCCTGTTACTGAATCCATGACAGTTAATTATTTGGGATGTTGTTTATTTCTAGTCTAGTGTTATATAGAGAGAGTATGCGAGATTGTTTTTAATATAACTTAAATCTCCTGAGAATAAGGTACAGTGTTGTATGAGGACTCATGTAGATCACGGAGCTGGTAATCAATCATAGGGGAAAGAAAATTTTGGTGGAAGTTTTTGTTTTTGGTTTTACGTGACCCTCTTTTGGCAATTCAGCTGTGTGATGTTTATGCAGGTCAAGTCTTTGATCGATGATACTAAATCTAGCACCCCAGGCAGTGTATCCAAGAATTGTACCAATCTCAGCGTTGCTTGCGGAAGTGCATTGCCATCTGTGTTTCTGAACAGCGGCACTCCCCCACTATCCCCACGAGGCTCACCTGGGTCTCCTCGTTTCTCAAGGCAAAAGACAAGCCCTTCTCTACAGTCTCCTCTGAAATCAGTCAGGGAACCAAAGCGCCAACTCATTCCTCAGGTTTGATTTTATATCCAACTGCTCCTCATATGGATTTCTTACAAACAACAGAACAACAGAAGGCACTACCTTACTTGACAGTTGACATCATGATAAAATTATTTTATAAATGGTCACATAATTGTTTAAACTAGATTGTAATAGCTTTCTAAGTTGATGCGGAACCATGCTAACAAATATAGTATAAACTACTTTCTTCGTTTAAGTAAATTAGGTACAGAACGATGACCACAAGTAAGTTTAATATGTTAACCCGATTTAACATGTTACATAGTTGAAGGGTTTAGCTAATAGTGTTTAATGTTCTTGTTGGACACTTCTCGATATGCTATGCAGTTTTACTTCCAACATGGGCGTCCACCTGCGAAAGAATTAAGGGAGGAATGTATATCCATGGTTGATCAATGTTTTAATAACTATATAGACGGAGCTCATATGGATGGTGATGTTTAAATTCAAGCTTTTCTACATCATAGACCCATTCTGTACGGAATAACCAAACAGTGATCTTACAGACACATTCTTGCTATTGTTCAATTGCAGAATTCAAATCCATTACTAAAGAAGTGTGCAAGCTGCCTTCTTTTCTTTCTTCTGTACTATTTAGAAGGATAGATACGAGTTGCTCCGGTATCGTTACAAGGTAATTACTTTCTTTTCATATGTGTAATAGTAGTTAAGTGTATATACACACGTAATTTACTAACAGAACACATTGGTCTGGATTTCCAGATTCACACTCAGCTATATCTTTCGTAAATGCCACACCCTTAAAAGATATGGACTGTGGCATAATAATTTTAGTACGTGATTGTTATCTTGAGCAATATTGAAGCATGTACGCTATAGATTTTCTTGGAATTGATACATGTTTTAGCCAAATCTTGATTGATAATCATAGAAGTATATATCACCTGTAGAAAAGTTCCATTAGATAGTATTACACCATATTTGGTTCCTGAATATGATGTTTTCCTGCAGGGATGCATTTATCAAGTATTGGGTTGATGGAAATATGTTGGCAATGGACGTAGCCTCACAGATATATAATATTTTAAGGCAGCCAGGTTGCAAGTACCTTAGACAGGTCTCTTTGTGATTCTTTACCAGTTCTTCCCTGCTGTTTTGATTTACTTACCAGAAATGATCTTCTCTCTTGATTTCTTTAGTCCACTGTACTGACGGCTTATGTATTTTCTTGGATTTGGGGTAGGCTGACTTCAAACCACTTCTTGATGAGCTTCTGACAACTCATCCAGGCCTGGAATTCCTCAGGAATACACCTGAATTTCAAGAAAGATATGGTAAGAACTTGGTTTATGATACATTGATGATTGATGTTTTGGTGTTTTAATATCCATAGTTCTACCGGAATGTCTTAGAATAATCCGTTTGTACAATATCCTTCCGCATACTTGATCTTTTAAAAAAGCGTTGACGAACTTTAATATCCATAGTTCTACCGGAATGTCTTAGAATAATACGTTTGTACAATATCCTTCCGCATACTTGATCCTTTAAAAAAGCGTTGACGAACTTGAAAGTGCAACCTTTAGCTGCCTCGTTTGGCCTAGGAAAATCATTCTTCCCATTTTATACTATTGGCATTTTCCATTATAACTGTAGCTTGAAAGTTATGAGATGAAACTTACATATAGAATATTTCAGGTGCCTACTGTTTTTATACATCATGCATGTTTTCCTTTTCATAAATCTTACATCATCTATTGACTAAATTATATTTTCTCCCTGTGTTTGTTTCATTCATCACTGTGTTCTATTCCGTCTACCCAGCTGAGACTGTCATCTACAGAATATTTTACTACATAAACAGATCAGGTACTGGTTGCATTACTCTTAGAGAGCTGAAGCGTGGGAATCTTATTGCTGCCATGCAACAAGTTGACGAAGAAGATGACATCAATAAAGTTATTAGGTGACTTTGTTTTCCTTTTCATCATTTTATAGATAGTATTTCAAAAAAAGATTTCAGTTTTAGTTTTATTTCTACTAAAAAAACCAGTTTAAGTTGTTTAAGAATTCAAGCTCAGAAAATAAACTGTGTAGCATAATGAGTAATATGGGTGGTGCGTAGCCCTTCATATTATTTCTCAGACATAAGCCGCACCCATACAACTCTTAAAGGGGGAGTTGTATTGGTAGTTCATATTGATACTGAGGCAAGATATCATGCATGATTTGACCATTCAATACGACATTTTCTTTGCTTTTCAGGTACTTCTCCTATGAGCATTTCTACGTTATATACTGCAGATTTTGGGAACTCGATGGCGACCATGATTTCCTTATTGATAAGGAAAACCTCATCAAATATGGTAATCATGCTCTTACCTACAGGATTGTCGACAGAATATTTTCACAGGTTGGCTCCAGATGTTAAAATGTTACTGAACACTCATTTTTTGAATCTTAATCGTTGTCTTGTGGGATGTGTTTCATTCTCCCTTGATTGTAATTACGGCTGTTGCTCATTTAGGTCCCTAGGAAATTTACGAGCAAAGTCGAGGGGAAGATGAGTTATGAAGATTTTGCATACTTCATTCTTGCTGAAGAGGATAAGTCATCTGAGCCTAGTCTTGAGTATTGGTACACGTCTCTTCCTTTCTTCTCTTTTGTATTTAATGACTTTCAGTAATTTTTCCTTAAGCTGCTTAGCTCACAGTGTCACTATAAATAATAAATGTATAATTGCTGAGCCAAAACTTGTATGTGGCCTTCTTGATGAAACAATTTCTACCTGAGATTTTGAATTCACTAAATATTAAATACTACCATTATTTCATGAACAGATACCCACACTGAAACTGAAACATTAGTCTGGGTAGTGATCTGTAGCTTGATTTTCATTTATCATCTCATGAACCTAGAACGCTTTCTATAGAACTGGTTTTGTGAGGGCATGCCTCGCTGTTATGCTCATTTATCTCCCATGGATGTTGAACACAGGATTCTGGCAGCTATGTGTTTTCCCCCCTTGATATTGATTAAGACCATCTTTGCAGGTTCAAGTGCATAGACCTTGATGGAGATGGGGTGATCACTCCCAACGAAATGCAGTTTTTCTACGAAGAGCAGCTTCATCGCATGGAATGTATAACCCAGGAACCTGTACTGTTTGAAGATATCCTATGTCAAATATTTGACATGATTAAACCAGAGGTCTTTTTAAACATAACATCGTCTTTTAACATTCCTGGCTCTTCGATTTTTGTTCTGTTTTTTGAATTCAAAACATCAATCTGTTAATGACTCTTTCAGAAGGAGAACTGCATCACACTCCAAGATCTGAAAGCATCTAAACTTTCTGGAAATATTTTCAATATACTCTTCAATCTGAACAAATTCATGGCATTTGAAACTCGTGACCCATTTCTTATTCGCCAGGTAAGCCTAGCTTTTCTGTAGAGTTTTCCTCCTTTCGGTTATTCAATCCTTGGTTTAATAGCTGCTAACAATTTGCGAAAATTATTAAAAGTTTAGATAATTTGTCATAACTGTGGAGAAAACTATGAACAATGCGACAGCTTTACCTAAGCTAACCCAACTGCTACCTGCAGCCGGATGTAGCTGTTCCAATCCCTGCTCTACTTCTAAATCAACTTACTTTATATTTCACAGGAACGCGAGAATCCAACACTGACAGAATGGGACCGATTTGCTCAGAGAGAGTATGTGCGGTTGTCAATGGAGGAAGATGTGGAGGAAGTCTCGAATGGGAGTGCAGATGTTTGGGACGAACCACTCGAATCTCCATTTTAAGTGCGACTCGTAAGAGGTACTTTATTCCACACTGCTCACCATCAGAGTTCCAAAAATATCAATTTATTGTATGAAAATGGAGAATTCATATGTAACCAGAGAGATGCTCCTATGAAATTAAAGCTTATTCCTTTCCTCAACACACGTTCTTTGTTCTTTCTTTTTCCTAGTTTTTGGTAAGAAGAAGAAGAAGAAGAAGAAGAAGAAGAAGAGGTTGGATCTTCTTGGCTGGTAACAGCTGCGAAATCGTCTCGCAGACAACCACGAAAGCTTGTCCATTCCACCTAGAGGTTTGCGTCCCACGCATAGTCTGTGGTTATTTCGTGAAATATGTGTTCTTGCTTAGGTTGTTCATGGTTGGACCTGGACCTTATTTCAATCTTTGTATATTATTTATATACAACGGTTTATAGTGTTTTGAGGAACCAACAGCAACGGTTTAATAATGAAAAATCAAAAGAACTATGTACAAAGACACTTCTTTTTGTGTGTTGGGAACAAGTACACAAATCGTAGAACTTGTTTTTTTGGTTGGGAAGATACAAAGGGAATTTTCGGAACAGCGATCCATTTTCCCTTCGGAACTTTCGACCAGTTTCACATAAATTTTCTGCTTTTTTCGGTATCTCTGTTAAAAAAATGTTCCACAATTAGTTCCCTCCCGATCTTGACTAGTACTACTCTTTCCTTTCTTAATTTCTTTAATAGATAATCTTTGGCTTTTACTTTTTTTTTTTTTTTTTTGGAAATTAGATGATTTTTCACAAACCAATACAAAATTAATTAGATTTGTATTGGTTTCAACAATTTATATTATACTAGCAGTTGACCCGCGCTCCGCGCGGGAGGTTTATAATTTTGTTTCGTTGATTTTTTATTTATATTGTGATATTTTATTATTATTTTTAATTGATTTTCAAAAAATATTATAATTATTTTCTCTTTTATTATTTTCTTTCAATACTCAAATTTGGATTAAAAGCATTTAATTCAATTTATGAAATATCATTTTTTTTCTTTTTTATCATGTTATAAACTAATATTTCACTTTTTTTTTCCTCTTTATAATTTTATATATACAATTACATAAATGTTGTTTTAGTCTACCATAAATTTAATTTTTACTTCCATTCTAAAACTCAGTAACATATTTAAAATATTATATTATGAGAATTTTTGAGAAATACCCCTTTTGGTGTATCCCTTTTTAAAAATACCCCTCTTTTTTATCCATTTTCAAAAATATCCCTTTTCAAATATAAAAAATTATAAACTTTTATATGGTTGATAAGTTACATCAAGATCATCATTACTATTGGGAGACTAAATCCAAATATTTAGAAGTAGGCATGACTAAAAGCTAACCTTAACCGTATTTTTAACCGTAACCGGACCGTTTATCAACCGTAACCGTATAAAACGGTTAAAAATTGTAACCGTTAACCGTAAAAGTAAATTAGTTACGGTTAAAAAATAATAATAACCGTAACCATTAATTAACTGTAACCATAATTAACCGTAATTAATCGTCGGTTAACCGTACGGTTAAACGCTCGGTTAACCGCATATTTAAATTTTTAAAATAAATTATATTATAAC